CCCACATGCAGACCTGATTAATATGTCAGACATGTTTTATGGGTTAACGTGAATCAGGCTAGATGTATTGAAAGGGCTGCAGCAGAGATTTAGTGTGTGTGGATATGTGGCTTTTGTGTGCGTGTTAGTCTGTACCACATACGTGCCAGGGGGTGGGGTGGAGGTATATCCAAAGCTCTGGAATAAAAGGATGCTCACCGCTCTCACACACAGCACGCTCCCTGTAATGTAATGAAGTAACTGAAAACGGGCTGACGAGGGGTGGAAATAGGCAATAGGTTTCCTCACATGTATATGATTATCACGAGAACGGTGCACGCGGAAGTGAAACACTTCACTGTGTGTCAGTAGTCTGCTGCTGCTTGAAAGAGGACTTGTGCTGTTGGTTTACAGCACAATGTGCAGCTGTGAGCATGCAGTGGATCTCCAAACAAATTTGTTAGGGAATCTTGTCCCCTTTTTTTAACCTGAGAGAGAAAAACACTACTAAAAACACTACTATCCCTTGACAGAGCTGATACTCTGGCAATAATTCCATTCTTTTTTTTTTTTCGAGATTTGTTGCCTCATTCACTTTTCTCCAAAATAAGATATGAATTTTCGAGGAAAATCAACATTTTGCAAGATAAAGTTATTCAATGCATTACAAACAATGAGAGGAGGATGTCTTAACTTTTATGAATATTAAAACATATTCTACATGCAAGATTCCTTAAACCAGCTTCATGGAGAAAGGGAAGAACTCTGAGTGACATTGAAGCAGATATTCCTCAGATGACTCACTGCATTGACTTGAATGTTGATTTATTTGAATAAGAAACATATTCATCACTTTCTCCATTGAATCGATGCCCTGCACAGTAATCCAGGCTAGGCTTTATTATACCTGGACCATGACAGAGTAGCCTCTGAACAATACCAGATTCTGAAACTGCAGCGGCTTAATGGAATAAAGCCATCATTACTTTCATTATTTGAACCCCATTTGTACTTCATAGACAGCTCACATTTACTCTGCCTATTGGAAATCTCACTCAGTTTCCACTCAGAACCACAAGGATCCATAAAAAGTAGATAGAACAGCCCTGATGATGCTTTAAAGGAAACTTCACGATCAGAGGAGTGTTAAATGTTAACTTTAAAGGCCGTAACCACTTTTTTTAGGAGGACTTGATAACTGATAGCAACTTAACGAAAACATAATTTTGATATGAGATGCGCTTTATTTCAGAATAATTTTGACACTATTTGGAGGACCTGCTGCAGAATGTGCTTCACTGGACTTTAATACACTGTGCATGACTTCTATTTAAATGTTCTGTACAGCACTCTGTAATCGTGTTGAGGTAATCCTTATTTCCAAATGACTAGCTTGAAAAACAGGAAATAAGAGCAGTGATTTACCGAAACATGGCACAACACTGGTTTGTCCCTTGATTTGGCGGCTTTTTTGTCTGTGTGCTTGAATGAATCATAGCTTGTTGTGAAGTGGCTCAGGACTGTAAAAAATTCCCAATGACCAGAGGAAAAACTCCCTCATGAAGAAGAATTATTCAAAAATATCGGGAGAATTTTAAGACAAGAAGGGGGTTTATCAGTTTTGCTCACTACTGTGTCAGATTTTTAGACCACTGTATGCATTTGTACAGTCAGAACAGCATGCTTCACTTTCCCTGCTCGGGCATTAGGACCACTGTGTGGCTTCCTGTTTCCTTTTCTCTTGTGCCCTCCTATTACTTGCAACTGTGAACTTTAGTGCATCACTCTTGTCAGTTAAATTGCATTTTTGCATTCAGGACTTGTAACATTATCATATAATTGCCTTTTTTATTCGCTAAATGGATTCCAGAAGTTCATTTGATATGTTCCTCCACCCAGCACCAACCTGAGCAGCTCTAATCAGAGTAAGTGAAAACACTTGTGGATAAGATCTCGTGCGCAAAGAAAACGTTGAATTACAGTGAAGGATAAATATTAGTACAAGACAAATTACCTACTGATTTCTCTGAGTTCTTGTTATTTTGTTTTTTAAATAATCCTTATCTTAAGGTTGGAACAAATTCTGTGAGTGAATTAATGGATCAGTATATTTCACGTGTAATAAAGGGAGCAATTTGTTCCTCTAACATATCCTTCAACTCTAAAATTGTGGTTCTTCCCTTCACTATTTGGGTTCACCTCTGTGTAATTTATCAATTTTTCAGCCCTTAATAGCAATAGCTTAATAGTTGGAGTGTTATAGCTCCAGAAAATGTTTTCACAGTAAGTACAAAACATACGTGCGATTTGCAAAGCAGCCGAGAACTGAGGAGCTCAAAAGGTGTGAAATCAAAATGAGAATACATCATCATGTTGATATCACATATGAATAGCTAGTGTTAAAATGTCAGCTTTTTAATAATTGAGATAATATAGTGATAGCAAAATGTTTTTGAGCGTCATATTTGTTAATAGAAAGTTAATTATTATGACCTTCCCCAGTTCTATTCAGTGCAACTTTTTCTCAACGTGTGCACACATATATAATGAAGCTGTAAATATGGTCACCTTACTGGTTATGCTGGCAAATTGTTCCTTTTTTTTAACAGGTAAAGTTAGCTTACTGGATGGTAACTGTGAGGGTAGCTGTAAATGATATGCTAATATCACTCAGCTTCCCCGTGCTTTAGTTTTCTACGTGCAAGGAGGGCTTCAGCGGAGGGGTGTAACACAGATTCAAAAGAGGCACAGTGAATAGAAGAGAGGAAATATTACATTTGTTATAGAAAGAATAGCTTAGCCTACTTGTTTGCGAAGTGGTTCTGCAGGATTAGTTGTAGGGAAGTCATGAGCAAGTACTTTAGGATGAACCACTAATATGTTTTGTGTACTTGATATGATGAATAGTAACTTGTGATTATTGTGGTTGACTTTTGTCTTTGGTCTTAAACGCATACAACATGACAGCGATCCATCCAGTAATTTAGCAAAGCCTAACAAGACACTTTTCAGAATTTGAAATCCTCTTCTCTTTGCTGCTCCATGCCCATAAAACCTCTGTTCTCAGTGCTATCTGGCCTCACACATCTCTTAGATGGATTTACACAGAAGACGGCAGCTTTTAGAGTTATTAATATCACAAGAAACAATCTAAAAATAAATGTGCTTCATACGCTGCAGCTGATCATTAATTGCTATCCTGCAAGAAAAACACAAGTCCTGACCTGAGTGTCTGCAGGCTGCTTCAATACATATCATTCTGCTCCTGCAAAATGTCCTCAGGCACAGTGTGCCAAAAAAAGAAAATCAAACCAACACCGAGTCGTTGATATAATTGTTATTTTTTACATTTGATGAAATAAAGTGCGTGACCAACAGCAGTAATCCAGAGTAGTTTTATTGCAGGTATGTTAAACGATTCATCTCTGCAGAATGAAACTCGCAGAATGCTCACTGAGCTGGATCAGCGTAAGAATCCTGTCAACTTTCCAATTTATCTCTGTAATTAGAGCTTTATTTTCATCTTGTGATGTTACATTCTTGCCAGTGGGTGTGCAGAGTCTATTAACATACTAATATCTTATAGAGAATTTCTGTGGAGAATGAAAATTCGATGCTACACTCTGAAAGTTTGCGACAGATTAAAAAGTGTTCAGCCACAGAATGTTGTTGAAATTCTTTTTAATTTTTTTTCTCCTCACCATTTCTCCTCCAGAAAGAACCATCTGCAGTCCCAGTTGAGACTATCAATAATGCATGCTCTGCACTCCAAAAGCATCCCATAAAAGAGCTTTTACATTTGGAGGTGTCCTTTTAAGAGTTTGGTTCCTGTTGCTTCAACTGGCTGTCAGGAACATAGAGAAAGTTTTTTTCCCCCCGTCTTTTCTTTTTTGTTCACTCCTCTATGGAAATTTGCATCTGTTCTGTGGCCACACACGCAGCCCCCCCCAAAAAAGCCCCCCCCCAAAAAAGCTGCAGTTAGTCTGCCTCAATCCATCGTTCAGTTCTAATTTCTTTTACTTGTTTATTCAAGTTACACAAATTTTTCTTGCATTTGTTTTCCATCTTGTCTCCAAATGGAGGCATGATGTCTCAAGTGGACCAGATATGAGGTTGTTTAGGTCACAGATTTAAAATAGCCCGTCTGAGGCTTGCTGATGTGTGTTCTTGAGGTGGCGGGGGGGCCAGCAGTTACAGGTTTTTCCGTTGTCAGACGGTTACAGGTTTGATCCCTCTCATTGATGATGTGTCCACATTAAACCCACCTTTTTCAGAGACGCGTCCCCTGTCTCGCCGTCCAAACTGTTGTGTGACTATCGCTCCATTAAGGTTTGTAATCACACAGCTGACAGTGGGAGCTTTTGTTCAGCTAGTTTACAATGCAGTCTGGTCCCAGTGTGTCGGCCCTGCACACAACATTCAGGAGCCTACTATTAATTGGTTTCATACAAGTCCCATAAAGCAGTTTCCCGCAGTTGTTCTCCTGTTGTGTTTTCTGTCTTTTTAAAATGAACTCTTAAGTGTTCAGAGGGCGAGTTCAGGTTTGGACTGCAGAGTCACATGACTAGATGGTTTTCCGGGCTGTCCTATGGTGCCCTCTAGTGGACAATGTTTTTGCTTTCATAAGCAGAATTTAATCACATAATGCACATTTTCCCAATGTTATTTTTCTTCTTTCTCTTTTCTTTCTAGTTTAAGTGTAAAGATAAATTATACACTTTTTCAGATTTTTTTTAAAAAGTCAGTTTTATGTTTAAAAAAAATAATTTATCTGCTCTCTACAATAGTAGATGTGTATTGATTCATAAAACCTGCAAAAAAATGACACCCTCTTCTTGATGGCCTTCTTTAAGTTTGTATTTGCTAAAATTATATCCTTTAAATTGAGCAAATTAATTTACAAAATGTATTTTTTACCCTATTCTATTGCTTTTTTAAATGCAACCAGCAAAGCTAAATCTGTTTAAACAACACAACAATTTGGGTACTTAGAGGTATTTTTAACACACAAAAAAAAAAAATTCTGTTGAAAATAATTGACATATTTTAATTAAGTCTGGCATCATGCACTTTGACACATCGTAACAAAAATACAAAATTTCAATGTAGACGTGAGATTCATATGAACAGCCTACATGTCAAGCTATGTGAGGTCCCAAAACATTGTATTAGTCTTCTACAAATGCAACATTAACTAAAAAAGTTTTTCATGAAACATGGTCATATTAAGACTTCTTAAAAAAAATGTATTCATGCGACAGAGACTTTATGTGAAGGATGCACAACAATAACATCATGATGACATTATTATCTTTGCAGAAGTTACATTTAATTACAAATTTATGGCGTATAAAAGTAATAATACATGTAAAAATATATATATATACTGTTGGAGTAAAAAAAATTAAAAGGCACAAGAGAATTATTTATAAAAATATTAATTTCTTTCAACAGAAACTTTGTGTTTTAACTAATGACTCCTCCTCTGATGATGTACCTTGGAGGACAGAGTGTTAAGTTTCAAGTTGATGTTAAAAAAGTACTTAATTACAATGATGGTAATGTTATTTAATTGGCTGCTCTGAGGAAACTATAAATATGATGTTAATCAACATTCAGAGAGCATTGAATCGTTTACATGTAGTGCAGCAGTAACTTTGGGGCATTAGGCATACAGTGGTATGTGTTTAATACTCCGCTGGTGGTTATTGTATTCAGTACTGCATAAGAAATACTTTGGATATAGCAGAAACGGGTCTATGCAGAGGCATTGAAGGTACCGTGGAAACCGTACGCCATGTTAACAGGCACACGGGCTCTTCCCAACTCCTCAAATGTCTTGGCATCCAACACCAGGAGGAATGTTCCTTTATCCTGTGGAGAAAAGTTTGGTAGAATTCAAATAAAAAAGACAAACGTTTAAAGTGAAAAGACAGAGCCATTTCTGTGAGGTAATATATAAAGAATGATGAGAAGACATATAGCTGTACACAACACAAGCTGCAAGTTCACTGGTGCGTTTTTCTCACTGGAAAAAAAACACCAACGCCCACTAACATCTGTCTTTTGTACAATGATCATTTAGTCCTGTGTGAAATGGCTGCATCGCCAACTCTGCATAACTTTTTCCTCTACTGACACCCCTGAACTATCGAAAGTATCTCACATGGAGGTTATAAAAACAAGAAGCATTAGCCCTCTATTTGAAAGAGGAACAGATTGGTTTTGCCAACCTGCTCTGTAGCTGGCCACAAGCTCTTTCACTCCCTTATTGTGCTGTGTGACCGTTGTGGTTCCACATCATAAACACGTTTTCTCATGTGTATTAAGAGTCTGCTGGACAGATGAAGGACGTCGCTTCATCCTGTAGCCCTCTGCAGCGTTGTTGCAGGAATGTTTGCAGCAGCGGACGGAGGATTACTGTGCTGCCACTGCAATGTGAAACGAGTCACCTTGTTCTGCATAAGTGGCTCATTAAGGCAAAACAGATTCATAACCACCCAAACCAGTTTAAATTCTATTGCTGCTGCCCTTATATTAAAATATGCTTCATGAATTGTAATGTTTTACAATAATGTAACCACACAATGAAAAGCTGTTTTTTTTCTCAACGTTTGAAAAAGAAAAAACCCTCCTGGTCAGGCTCCTGACTGCTCTGTAGCAGTCTCCATAAGGCTTTTACCTGTGAGGGTGTGAGGACCACTGACAGGATGGCACCATCGTCCTCTTCCACACCATCAGGTGAAGGCACAAACACAGGCTCTGACGGGTAGAAACCCTCCTGCTTCCACACCTGCACACATCACAAATTCAGTTGTTGTGTTTTTTTGGGGGGGTAATTACTCATACTATATGCAGAAATGCAGCTCTTAAGCTCCCGTATCTTTTGAGGTTGAGTAATGCTCCTGTAATGGCATGCCAGGGTAACTTTTTGGTGCTAAATGTAGAACATAATTGTATTCTGTCGAATGCAGTTTCCAAGGTGCACTCATTTTTCACTTGTTTTTTAACCATACAACATTTTTTTTTTATCAAAACAGCATTTTCCTTTTGTTCCAAAAGGTCACTTTCAAAAACAGTGATCCACATTCAAACAGTCAAAATAACAAAAATGAATGAGCTGACAGCAGCAGCTGTGAGAACAAAGCTGTGGATTGGAGAAAATAATCCATGAATTTTCCACATCTTTTTAAAACAAAACAATACAACCACGCCTAATCACAAGCCCGTAGGAATGTGACACATAACCAGACTTTTTCTTAATGCGGCCAGTCCCTCTTTGTGCTCTCTCTGCATTCAGTACCTCAAACCCCTAAATCAGACCAACCTGCTGCGACATGAAGAAACGTTTTCTACCTATTTGAAAAAAAGTTCCAAAGAGTCAACACACCTTTAAAAAGCCAAAGGGAACAAAGAACCGGCAGACCGAAGGCACATGAATAAGATAATCCAGCAAATGAGACGTAACAGCTAAAGCTTAAGAATGGCTGCTTAATGGATTTACTTATCTTTGGGTAAAGTTAATATGGACACTATATTTCGACCAACCAACCATATTTTGATTATGGGACTTAATGATTCCTTCACAATGAAGTTGACACAATCCCCACTGTGATGTTAGCTCCACTGAGAAGGGGCTGAATGACGTTATATCATAAAAGTTAGGTGGCCCCAACCTAAAAACAACAGGGTGTGTTTTGTCTTGACTGGAGGGATACATTTTTTATTACAGTTATTCCAAGCTACTGTTTTTGGTTTTACGTTAATTAAAAAAAACTCAAATTTAAGGTTCACAAATAATATTGAGTCATTCATTTTAGCATGAAATTGCTGACCGCACAACTCCTCGTTGTTAATAGTTGCTGTTCAGGACGCGCCCACTCCCACACACACCTTAAACGTCTTGTCCTTCAGGTCCATCTTGAGCAGTGAGTCGCCCACCAGGTGTTTGAAGCCACAGCCATAGAAATAACGGTAGGCTCGAGTGTTGCATTTGCCGTAGTTGATCTGAGGGAACTCCAGGCCACCATATTCACACAGGTCATCTCCATGGAGATTCTCATGCTTGCAGAACACCTGTTGACAAAGAAAGGATTAGCTCTGCATTGTCACTCAGTATTTGTCATCTCTTTCCAAGCACCTATGAGCATTCAGCTTCAGCCCGACTGAGCGTCACTTCTGATGGGTTCATGAAGTGGGTCTTAAAGATTTTTTGGCTTTTGAAGCTTCACTAATCTCATAGTCTGTGATTACTGAGCACAAAATAGCAAATTAGACTGTAGCAAGTCAGCCAAATTAGAGGTGTGGAGCTGTGTAATTATCGTTTATTTCTTTTTTTCTAGTTTATTGACTAATTGGCTTTTGACAAATGCCTGTAGGGATGTTGCTTCAGAAGAACTCATTAACAGTTCAGAATGGATCAGAATTTAGAATAAATGGATGGATAATATTGAATAGTAACAACGCACAAAAGCCTTTTGCAGCTTGTCATCATATATTTTGGGATGCTGAGGACATATAAAACCTGTTATCAATCAAATGTAAAAATCACTGGTGTCAAATACTGTGTTCAAATGGAGCCCCGGTAAAACTTAGGTGCAGACATTTCTGGCAACAAAAGATGATCTTATCACCCATCACAAATGTGATATACAGATATAACAGATGTATAAGGCACTTTGAAATTTGTCATTACGTGTAAGATTCATTAGAACAATTTTATGAATTTATATTTAACACGTTGGAATGAGTGTAAAAAAGAATACAGCTTTTAAAGAATAAGGACATCGAAGAGCACCTATGCATTTTGTTTGAACCTCAGTAAACTTTGACCCGTTGTGCTCTAAGCCAGTTGGATTTGATCATAAGCTGCCCCAGTTCTTCTCTCGGCCTGAGCCTGTTTGTTTTATTCGTTTGTTTGTTTTTCTATTATTGTGTATTTGCATAGGGAGAAGACCAAATAGCAATTACCATAAAATTCCCATAGGGACATTTTAGTTACTTAAAAATCATACAAATTTGATTCAAATACAAATACAAAAGCACAATAGATACATTTAACTACGACAACCTTCAAAGTTTTTATCTAAAAGGAACAAAGCGTTCAGTGTGTGTCCCACAAAGAATTTCCTCTGTTGATCCCTGTTGCATATTAAGCCCTAACACCCCTTACAGTTCCCATTACATTCATATTACTGTATGCGGAGGCAGTTTTATCCAAAACAGTCACCTCACCATTTGAGATAATGAACAGTGGTGTTTCCAACTTTTTGCCAACGTTAAATTTATAAGACCTAAATCAGAAGTTAGCTTTAATTTGTGAGGTCAAGTTACAGTTGAATTTCCTGTTTGGGTCTGAGCTTGATAGGGAAGGTAGTTTGCTGTTATTAGGATCTTATTTCAAACTAAGAATGTTTAACTTACAATGGGGCCTTTCTGTATCATGGCATTGTTATTTCAGCTTAATGGAGGAAACAGAAAATGGCCTTGGCTGACACAGAAACTGACAGGTCAGAACTGTATCCTTAGTGCAGCCAATGTGTGTTTTCTTTGGTGCACCATCATCACCATCTTCATCATCATCATCATCATCATCATCATCATCATCATCATCATCATGACATCATCATCCTATGACACTGAGCTTATATATACCCAGCCGGTGTGAACATAGGCCTTCATGCAAAAGAATGGTTGAGGCTTCATTATGGCTGACCTTTTCTGAACTGATCTTGACACAGGATGCTTCACTGGAAGGGCGAGTGTTCAGGTTCTGGCCGGTTGGGGTGTCACTGGTCACATGTAGGGGCAGCACGAAGCGACGAGGGAAAGCCCTGTCTGTAGCATTGTACACCTGGAATAAACCCAGGAAGTATATCTGCATTTTATAGCTCCATGCATCATCACATACAGTTTACCTCTTAAAAATAGCTACGTTTCAACAGCTGCAATTCCAACACATCTAGAATTAAAATGGATCCCATCAGTCCCATCAGTGTTTTGAACATGATACAATTTGGAAAAGAAGGCGCGATCAATAACTGGAACAATATGAAAACATGATTGCTGAACCCAGAGTTGGAGTGTCCATGCATGAGGTAAATGCACTGACCTCATCCAGTGCCTCTCCTGACTGGCGTAAGTTCTGGATCAGGTAGTTGTTGATGGCTTGGCCGTCGTCCGCGCAGCACAAATCAAGCATCAAGAATCCATCCTCCTCAAAGGCATTGATTTGATGGAAGGTGGACATGGCTTTGGTGTGGTACTTAACTGGGCTAACCTAAAGGAAACGCACGATTATTTTTCCTTTACATCACAATGTGCAGAATTTACATCAAGTGATTCTCATCCCTGACCATCTGAGCCACATCTGACCTCTCCTGTGCGCTTGTCGACAAGGTGGAAGACAGTTTCCAGCTTGGGATCCCAGTAGATGCCACTACTCAAAGCCTTCCCCCTTATTTTGCACGTGACTATCTTGAACAGATCCATCTTGATTGGCTGCTCGATGAACACCACATAATTCTCGGACATGGCTAAAAGCAAGAAAAGAGTGTTACTGGGCTTCACAGCTGGGGGTAGAAAGGGAGAGAGGCAGACCCAACTCCCCAGGAGCACTGCTCACCAAAGCTGTGGTAGTAGGAGGGATGGGACTTGTTTGCCGGCGCAATGGAACAGAGGACTTGGGCTCCTTGAAGGGTGTCTTTGCTGTCTGTTTTCTCTGGAGGTACTCGGATAATATTGTACAGAGCTCCTAAAATTCAAAGGTAACATTTCAGAAGCCTTTTACCAACATTTGCTCTGATGTGAAAGTTTGAAGAAGCAGAGGGCAGGTGTTTATTGACTCTAATGTAGCCAATACTGTAAAACAATATCAGGATGAAACTGTTGATGAATTATGCAAACCTTAATGCGGGCTTTTAAGTAGTGAAAAGCCAAACCTTTGCTTCCATAAGAGTTGCCCATATTGTAGGTGGTGCCATCTGGATCATAGTGTGGGTGTGCAGTGGCTCCATTTACAGCAATAAACTTGCTCCAGTCAACCTACGACATAGAAGGGAGCAGGGCTGGTTTTAGCTCGATACATCAGAGTGGAAAAAGGACAAAGTGTAAGTGAGACACTCGAATCACCGGCAAAATGCTGGCAAAGGTTTTAAACGAGCAAATTAGAAACTGCATAAAACAAAAACTTTGATGAGAAAAAGTTCCCAAAGCAAGTCATCGGGGGCGGGGGCCTTTTGGAGGGCAGGTTTTCCATTTGATATATTTTAGTAGCATTGCTTTTAAACTACTGTTTATAATTATATCAACATTGAAGATGTTAATCTGGCTGACATCAAATCCTGATTTTCAAATAATCATATTTCTCTTTTATACCAGGGAAACAATAAAATACACTTTGTCAACAATAACTCACTAGTTTTAAAGCATTACAGTCCTGTATTTAACATTTGGAAAATCTTATAAATCTCTCTTATAAAAGGAAGCCTTTCTCCATGATGACAATCATAATACCTTTTCCAGTGTTTCTAAGTTCTCTGGGTTCACTCTGTGCATGAAGTTAGTCTCTGTGCTGACATAGTAGTCCCCTTTGTATTTCACAAAGCTCACACTTGCATTGTCTGTCGGTTCTGAAACAAAGAAAAGCACAGGGATAGCTTTTTAAATGCCTTAAAGCTTATCTTCATCACTGTGAAACACCGCTTACAGACTGCATTTACTCTGTGAAGTTTGAGGAAACGTTAAAGATTCTCTTCTTCCCCGTTACCTCGGCATGGATCGAGCGCTTAAGAGACTCCACCCCTCGCTCCACCACAGATTTAGTACAGAGGATTTAGTACAAACCCAAACTCAAAATAAATTATCCCTTCCTCCCACCTGACAAAGATTTTCCCTCTGGCTGTGCCGACTCAGCAGCCTCCTCTCAAATTACTGTGTTGATTGTACTGCATCAAAAACTCTGCTCTTTCTTGAAAACATAGCGCAGATTAGAGTGCACATTCCTGCACCCTTGCTCTTTGAGCCAGCTGCTTACCGATCATCTCGAAGCGGGAGAGGAATCTCAGGAAGAAGTTTTTACATGGGTCAGGCATGGCAAGGGTGCCAAACTCTGACATCACGATGCGGTCCCTCTCGCTGTTCTTGTTGTAGGCATCACTCCTGAGGAACCGGCTCATGTACGAAACCTGACCCTCCTGGATCTTAAACTGGTGAAGCATAGCCATCCCATCGAACCAGTGGTTGTAGCTGTCATTGAACAGACATTAGGATGTTATCATACACCTCATGATATTCACGCGCAGCACAGAGAGAGTTTCATAACTTACTGAGTATTTCCAAACTCAAACTTTCCCGGGCCATTGCGAAGGAAGTTGCCCTTGATCCAAGATGGAATGGTGCCTTGTACCTCGGTAGCGATTGGCTCCGGGGTCTCCTCCATGCTGCGCACGAGAGGAGCGATAGTCTCCAGTCCCTTTAGAGCTGTGGTGCATTCCTTTGCCTTGCCATTTTCAGCAGGGCTGGCTTCATCTGAAGGAAATGCATACGAATACAAAAAGGATCAAATCGTACCCAGATCCTTTCTTTTTTGTGACTAATGTGTGAAAACATTAATCTAGCGATGAGCTTAGGTGATTTTTTATTATGACATGTGAAATATGAAAGTATTGAAAATACAAAAGACGGTACAAAGACTTTCTGGTTTTATAAAATCACTAATCACTGGAACTAATTAAGCCAGTGAAAAGGTGGACCTTTCGCCCATTGACTACTGGGATAGGCTCCAGTCCCCTTCGACCCCATTAGGGAATACGTGGTTACGATAAATGATGGATGGATGGATACACATTTGAAAATGAAGGTGTTATTACTATATTGTTATTCAAATAATAAGTATTTATAAATGATGATGATGATGCTGCTGATTATTATTATTATTATTATCATATTTTATTTTTTAATTATTATTGTTATCATCATTAGTGGTGAATGTCCTCACAGTGGTTACCCTTAGGGTTTGAAGGTACGTTGTGAAATCATTGATGTGAACTGGGCAGGTGGGGTGAGATGGCATTGAGTCAAACAGTAGACACAAGTGGTTCAATGTTAGATTTTTGAACGAGGATTTGTACCCTGGTGCAGTTCTTCATTCCCACCTGGAGTACAGTAACTGGGTTTGTTGGACTTCACAGCAGCGTCTGTGACTCCAGTGATCACAAATGTGTGACTTGAGTTATCACCAGCTACACTGTTTATTTCATTACTTCTGTCAAGGAGAGCCTTTTTCCACCATGTGATTCAACTCTGAATGTAAAACCAGTGGGCTTTTGTTTAAGGGGATATGTCCATACATGGATGTTAAAACGTCATGTACAAAATATCTGGACCAGATGAAAAACATCCAGCACTTCAGTTCTCCTGCTTTAATTATGGCAAAACTGCAGAGCAGCTATGTCCTTCTTATTCCAGTATATTTATCAGGAAGAACTAACTAACTAACTAACTAACTAACTAACTAACTAACTAACTAACTAACTAACTAACTAACTAACTAACTAAACACATAAATAAATAAATAAATAAATAAATAAATAAATAAATAAATATGGGACAGGGTGCACAGAGCTTATCTTCATAGTTGGGAGTTGTAACTGCAAGAAAATAGTGAAGTGATCATGGAGTAACCATGGCCATCCTTAGTTTTTGCTATGAAAATTAAAATGAAAATTTTATAAAAGGATGGAGGATCAGAGAACAGCAAAAAATGAAGGACACATTTTTATGTGATCATAAAACAATGTGTGACCACAGCTGCAGGTATAGAATTAACCTTCGTGGCACTCCATCAGCTGAAGCCTTTCTCCTAAAATCACTGGTTGGACTGTGCAGTTCTTTCACAATCCACTAAAAAACAGATGTGTACGTGCTCTAGAGCTGGCCCAGCTGTAATATCTGAGCGAATCAGGCTTCTATGGCAGCTCTGACTATGTGCAGGATAGATTATATAAATGATATAAAGCCTAACAAAGGTCAGACATTTGGATTCCATAAGGTGTATGTTTGAAACTCCCTTTTAAGTTTCCATATAGACAGAAAAGCAAAAGGGAGAGCTCACATAATCACTAGCTTTAACTAGCTTTAACTTGATAAATAAATATTAATACCAGCTGAGTAGGCGACTCCCACTCTCTAGAGATTGACCATCTGATGATCATTCCAGCATAACAGAGCAAAAACCACACACAACCAGCATCACAAAACAGATGTTGAAATAGAAAACAGTGGAAACAATAGCTGGCAAGGATTGTGTGTGACTGATTTGGATCCATGTCAGGGGAAAGAGAAAAGAAGTGTAACATGACGAGAAAGCAGCAGCTCATGACAGAATATCCCAGAAATTGTGTAACCTTACAGTTGTCAAAATGATTAAAATCACATATCATCTCCTTGCTAAATGTGTATTAACTTTATTTTTTGCATTGAACAATGGTTCTGTTTTAACACAGGCTGGAATGCATTTAAATCTGACTGGAACTTAAGAGTTTCCTCTATAATTGTTGCTCATTTTGAATTATAATAGCACCGATTTTATGTGCAGCAATCTGTTGAATGAATGTCAACAAAGTAGTACATTTGTTTTGAAATGTTGTTAGAGCCCAAACTGTGCTAAATTCTGTTAAATTAGCGTTGTGCTCCAAATTTAACAGGGTACAGTGTTCGAAAGCTTGACGCTTTTGAGATAAATGTTGTGCACAGACACGCTGTAATTTTCTGCTGCCGATTATGGGCATCTTCCGTTCAGAAAAGCAAACACAGAGTGCTCTGGGGAGTCAGCTTTACGACTCTCATGACGTTTTGACTGTGCAGAAGCTGGAAATGAGGCTTGATTCTAGTGCAAACAGTTCCAAGTTTCATTTAATTAGGATAGGCGATGGAAATGTTGTTGTTTTACAATAAAGGAAAGACAGAAAAAAAAGCATGTTAAACCGAAACCTGACTCGACGTGAGTGGCACAGCTGAGCGCTGCAGAAAGAACATTTTGTACTGCTCTGCACAAATCTCTCATCACCAGCTCACTGAATATCAGAGCAACCCACGAGTGATCTATACCTGCTGCACGGATGAAAACATAGAAAATCATGCATTTATTCAGATTATTTTAAGTCCAAATGTGGAGTATTTCTCCGGATATCCCAGCAGCAGGTGAATCCTCCACAGCTGTTTTTCTTTTCTTTTCTTTTCTTTTTTTTAAATCCTTACAGTAAAACATAGCCGGCCTCTGGGCACACTTACCTGAACTCTCCAGCTTCACGGGTGACATGTCAGAGGATGGATGCGGACTCTTTCGGCTTTATCTGCGACCTGTCAGACCATAAAGCTCTGACTACTTACTGTACGCAGCCGCTGGGGCTCCGGGCTGCTGCGCGCTTATGTAACGCGCTCCCTCCCAGCAGCGCACCCTTTATACGGGCCGCTGTACTGCGACCCAGGCAGTTGTTTACTTTTTGCTGTCGCCTTATATCATCAATAAGTGACTCATTTCATCCTCCTGCCCAACACAGTTAAAAAAAATATTGATGCTAGTGTACAGTTAATTAATAAGATGATAATAAGAAAAATGCTGAAATACCTTTTGACTTAAAGATATTCCAACTCTTCAGCTTTGTGTTCATTTTAGCATTCCATTCTATTATAGCGCTTTTCTACATCTGTTTGTAGATTAAGTAACATTCCAAAGGAGTAATACTATTGTTAAATACAGGGATTTACAAATCTGCAGACTATTTAAAGTAAACACTTTAGAGGTTGATGTTTTTCCATTGATTAATGACAAATGCAGATTTATTTTTAGTTTGTTCATATTAGTGAATGTTTTTTTTCATTGTATTAATCTATAATTTCTCATCATCGGCAGCAGCAGACAGCAGACTTAATGCGTTATTGTTATCACTGCATGTTGCTTTTCACAGATCTGTGGCTACCATATAACAGGTCAAGTAACACCTCACAGCCAACGGCCGTCCATATGGACCATGTGGCTGTCCAGATAATCTTTGCTGGAGGATTAGGACTAAAGTAAGTTGGTTAGTGGAGGAGGACACAACACGGAAGGATTCATGCTGACACAAACGTGTTTCCTGAGCCTTTCAGGTAGGGTACGACATATTTTCCGTTTGATATAGCTGTCCTTAAATTCATCAGTCATCTTTAAGGATAATAAATCTTGTTATTTTGGTGGATTACCTCATTGACCAGGGCTGTCATGCAGGCTTATCCCTACACGTTTCACATTACCGTCAGAATCTTGGCACAGCTTTTCATTTAAAATATAGTTAAACTTTGAAGAAAACAAAACATCAACCATTGGTGTAAACGTTTTAAACTGTTGCGGCCACAGATGGGATATGCTTCAATGGAAATATCAACAGTTGCGAGGGTGTTTTGCTCCCATGTCACTTTAGCTATACACACAAGACACTTCCTGTTTTTTTTTTTGGGTTCAGCTGCACTGTCAAAACATGTTTTGGAATGTATAAATTTACATTCTAGAGGAAGTTTTGAAGGGGGAGATTAAAAAAACAGGCTATTAATGATCATGATTTGGAACCAAAGCTGTTTTCACAATACTTTGATACAAACATGGGCAGACTATGTTCAGTTTCTCATAAAAGATTGTCAGTTATTTCCTGAATAATCAGTAATAGATGCAAACACATGGACAAACCTTTGTGGAACACAACAAAACTAGGTAACATCTTTTCACATTTTATGGACTGACTGAAGGGGCTGTCCTCATTTTAATTAGCTCTTTAGATCCTACTCATCTCATTTTAGCAGAAGAATACAGTCAGCAGTGACAAGCACGACTGTTTTAATGTCATGTATTTTTCTTTCAACAGGAAACGTTAACTATCTGCAATGCCCTCTTCAAAGAGCTCCATAAACTGGGCCTTGTCCGAGCTATTTGGGCAGCGGAGGCTGTTAGGGCTCGGAGCTCTGCTGGCATGGCTTGTCCTCTTCCATCTCCTGGTGAATGTTTGGCTCCTGTGCATCTTCACCAGCCTCTTAGTGGTTCTCGGTGGTTGGCTTGGTTCCCGGGCGGCGCTGGACACAAACAGCCTTCTCCACCTGGAACACTTTTTGCCCCTTGGCAAAGGTAACCCCCCTCTGTATTTACCCGAGCATGAGTGGAGGTTAAACCATGAGATTCACAGCGCCGTCCACAAAGCAATGCGGGACTTTGTGTCCTCCTGGTATCGCACTCTGCTGCCTGAGGTGAAGGGAGAGTTTGAGCAGGCCGTGCGTAACTCGATGCTGGAGTCAGTGATGGAGCTGAAGGAGCGAGCTCGGCGGGTGGACCGTAAAGCACTGGTTCAACGGCTGCTGGAACTCTACGGCTGCCACCTGCAGAGCTACATGACAGTCAGAAACATCCAGTCAACACAGAAGGAGAGCATGAGCCTGTGGCAGCTCTACAGAGAAGTAGAGCTCCCTCATCCAGCTATGAGCGGTGCAGCCACCGAGCTCAACTACTCCCGAGCTCTGGTAAGCCTGGTTCTACATGTCCTTGTTCCGTACCCTCAGATGGAAACCAGGACCGGAGGTTACGTGGTTGCAGAGCTCATCACCTGCAATGTGTTGTTACCACTCATAAGCAGGGTTTCCGACCCGGACTGGCTAAACCAGACCATCGTGGACATTTTCACCAAATCCAGAGAACCCCAGGAAATCAGTGTGGAGGACCTCCGCTCTGAGGCATTATACAAATGTCAGATCCAGCAGGAGTCCTGGACCACATGCAAGTCACTGTCTTCCTGTGATCAAGCTGGTCTCAGCAGTGAATGTACTTCAGATGTTGATGATGCACAAAGTGCGTTCTCTGGAAGCGACTCCTCACAGAATAGCACTGAGAAAATACCCAGTTGCCATGCAGGTTTGCACAATCCATACCAAATGAACTGCTGTTCACTTGCATCCGGTCTCTACTCCCGCTCATCAACGTCCAAAATGATTTCAATGGACTCTCTTCAGTCCGACTTTGACGATGACCAAGCTGACGTTTTTTGTGACTGTGGTCCTCCTACCAGCCTCTGCACCTTGCTAGCTGTAAAAGATGATGATGCCTTTGGTTGCTTTGCGCCTCTGAGAAATCTTGGGCCAAAGGTGGTGGTGCCTGAAGAGTCCCACTGGCCCGCAGGGATAGCCCAAGAGAAATCCCCATCTAGTCCACGAAGAAAGCTTTGTCTAACCTCGTACAACTTTGAAGCCTCAAACAGTCCAGCTTCACCTGTGAACATTCAGAATGTGCAGATATCGGGTACTGTCAGTGCAAAGGAGAAGTCTAGCACGGGTACACATCCCTATACCCTCTACACTGTGAAGGTAACACCACCTCCTACTTCCGTTTAATGTTTTGCTGATGTTCGTGCATGGTTTAATGATGATCCACTTGTCTTGGTTTTATAGTTTGAGACAATGGCTGATGGTGACAGTACTGGCACTTTGCAACCTGCAGCTTGTCACAGTGTCAATCGCAGATATAGTGAGTTCCTCAACCTGCAGACACGTTTGGAGGAAAAGCCTGATGTCAAGAAATTAATCAAGAGTAAGAAACAGCTCTCTAAAAAATCATAACATAATGATACTGACCAAGGTATGTCGTTTTCAGACAGTGTTGTATATTTTAGATGTCAAAGGTCCAAAGAAGATGTTCCCTGACCTCCCGTTTGGCAGTCCAGACTGTGACAAAGTTGAAACCAGAAAAAGCCAGTTGGACGGCTTTCTTAAAGTAGGTATCTGGATCATGACTTTGTTCAGCATGGCAAAGCATTTGTGTGGGCGTTTAGTGAGACATTTTTCTGTGTTTTCCTTTTCCAAGCAATTAAGCAGCATTCCTGAGACAGCCAATAGCGAAGACTTGCAGGAGTTTCTGGCAATCAACTCAGATGTTTCCACGTACTTTGGAAGAAAACCTGCCAGCAAGTCAAGAATTGACAAGGTGGGGATAAAACTTATGAAACGTGTCCATATGCTTTCATTCTGACTTTCATATTGTGGGAATCTGCAGTTTTACTATGCCTCATTTCTCCTGAGTGTAAATGATAGTAACACACACTGCACTCACAATGAGGCGCGGGCTGCTGACACGTTTGTTTCACATGTCTCATGTTTTGTTAAACTTCCTGTTAAAGATGATGGAAAATGCATTAGACACTTTGAGGACAGCGTTTCCTCATCCCGAACCCCTTAGTCCCACAGATGACATGGAAGGGGACACCGATGGGAGAACAATGGACAATAGAAAGTACAGGTGAGGGTTCTGCCAGCGGCTAATAATCAGACTTGTGATCCGGCACCACCGCTGGAATAGTGTTTGGGAAATTTTTAAAAATATATATCATTTTCAGAAGGGAATTTTGTTTTTTGTGTACTTTTTTTTTCAGTAGGAGGCTGTTCCCAAGCAAAATTTCCCCCGCTCTCAATATTCCTGACCTACATCCTAAAGTGACATACTGCTACAGTGAGGGCAGCTCTGTAAGTGACGGCACGGTGCTCTCTTTCGCGATAAACGTGTTCTAAAACAGGCCGTGTGGACGCTTTTGTGTTCAGGTCCTGAATGGCATGTCGCTGTCGGGCCTAGAGAGCTTTGTCAAAGAGCAGGAGAGGCTTCTGTTTGTGCCTAAGGTCACAGGAGCAGCCCAGCACGTGTGTGAGCCACACGGCAAAGACAAGAGGACGTCGGGAAAAGCTCATGGGACAGGTTAGGATTGTTTTACTTCACCCTAACATCAATGCACTGTGCTCCTTTCAGCTCTTTAGACACAACATGCAGTGACTCCACACCACCACTTAGGTGCAGCAAAACCTCACTGTCTGTCCAAGCCTTTGATTAGCCGTCCCTGTAGTCCCTTCCCACCTATGGTGAGTTTAGTCTTAACAGTATGATTCATCAGACTGATTCAGAGTTGTTGTCTTGCAACAACCTTCTTAATGATTTGAGGCATTTGTTTGTGTATTGCAGACACAGCTGTGGCAGATGTTGTTTTGAACATCTTGTGTTTGCTGATGAAGGATCAGTGGAGCTGGCTGTGCACCGAGAACATACAGAAGACCATCAGGCTTCTCTTTGGCACCTTCATTGAGAGGTTTTTCCTATGTCCTCCCTAACTTTTTTTCAGACTGCACGTACTGAACAGAGCGTGAAAGCCATTCTTGACACCCCTTAAAACTTTGTGAAATCCAAGTATCCTGAAGTGATTAAAATCATGTCTTGAATTGGTTAACAGTTGACTTGCACCAACTCCCACTAAGTGTCTGATATTTGATCTCTATGACAAGTTCTTATTTTTCCATTACAACAAAGTCAAAGCAGTGATACAGAAGTTAAAAGTCTGCTGCCATTGCTCGCACACAGAAAGTCTACAGATGTATTTTTCTAGCAGATGATGTCTTTGCTGTCACTTATTTTTATTAATTTAACTGAAAATCCAGATGCAGGATGGTTTCCTCACACCAAAAGCAGTTACTGCTGAAGTTTTTACAAAAATGCTGCATTACTTCGTTTGATCACATTTGAAAAGACAATGTTTTTTTAGACTGTCATGTCTATGTAGTTACAAGCTCCTAGTGATTTCTATATGATGCTATTTTTTAAGTCATTGTGACTTTGCTGTAAACTTCCTTGACTTAAAGTCAGGCAGAATGTTCACTCATTGTTGATTACTTAACCAAAAAAAATGTCACTGAAGTGCATTGTAACCCTGTTGCACTGAACCACTAATTTCTGCCCCAGATGGTTGGATGTAGGTGCCGCCCACCTAACCAGTGCCCCCTGCTGGGTGATTTACCTACAAGTGCTTCAGGAGGCCGTGTGGCCAGGTGGCTCGCTGCCTGCTCAGCCACGGCCCGAGCGCAGCGCCACAGAGAGAGAACAGACGAAGGAGCAATGCCTGGACTGCCTAATGCAGCTCCTACCTGGTATTTAGCAGCCGTTGTGTTTCAATGCTGGAAGTTGCCATCTGAACAGTTTCTTAAGCACTGTTTTATCTTTTTGTGCCTGTACAGAGTTTATCACTGACATGCTCGGCAATGAAAAGTACAGGTTGAGCTTGGAGACCATGCTGGAGTCTTTACAGGACCATCAGATAAACAAGTGAGGAAGTAACATTCGGTTGCTGTTTCAAGATGTAATAATAAGCATTGTATTTTTCCTTTGCAAACATTAAACAAAAACACTGCAATTGTTCCTCTTGGATTAGGCTTGAATGGTGAATTGTTGCTATATTTCAGTGGTTACTGCAGAACATATTGCTCATAAGCATCTATATTACCAGTTAATGCTTGTCTCTTAATGCAAATTGCCTTGTTTGTGTGGTCTCCTGCAGGCATCTGATTTTCTGCATCTGTGACCTGCTGTTGGAGTTCCTGATTCCTGAGTCATGTAATGAGGCCTTCCAAAATACCCTCCTGCAAAGCCTGGCTAAAGACACAGAAAAAGACAACCCTCACATGTGATCAGATCACAATATGCATGCAGGTGAACCTAAATGATACTGAGGTGGCATATTCATATGGTAATATTTGGTCAGTGTAACTTTACACCTCCCAGAAACTGTGCAGTGATAAAATGATGGGAAAGAGAAAGAATGTGTACACATTTTTTAAGTAGTGCGATGAACTGATTGCACTGGTTTGAGAGTGAATTCCCCTGTCAAATATCACAGTTATTTTATACCCTTGAGCCCAAGTGCGAACAGTGTAAACAGGATCAAACTCCAATAATAACTTGGCCCCTTTCACCCTTAGCCACCGGTACAGTGAGCACATGCTTTTCGAATGTATATTTGTGCTTCTTTTTCTAAATGTATCCATAAATTTACTTATAGCTGAAAGCGTTTTACATGTGTTGTATAAAGACTGATAAAAGTCAATGTGAATAAAGATGAATGGATAACTGTTGAGCTTAATGATTCATGATATGAGTTTTAATGTATTAGTCTACGAGGATTTATTCTGTCCTGTTTTCTTTTAACTCAGGTCAGTACCCTCCGCAGAGGTCTAACAAAGTCTAACAAAAGACTTGGATGAAAGGTGCTGAACTTCAAGTCGGTGCTGAATCAATGTCTTGTCTCAGGGGATTTTGTGGGAATCCCCTGTCCTGAGGCCATCTACAGAGATGGTAGCATTTTATATTTAGTCCTTCCAGCTAAGTCTGAGCTGTCATAACGATGCTGTTGTTTTGGGTTCTTAAGCTGTATTTTTTTCTTCTGATTCTTTCATTTTCCCAGGACCAGCTTTGTCTTTTGAGGTTTTAATATTTTGATAAAAATTTGATCAGATATAATTGAAGTTCTCGCAGAGAAACAGCCTGACAGATAAGTGAATGTGACTTTTAAAAGCCCACGTCGCCTTTTTCTTGCCATCACTGAGAACTATATCTTCTATCATCTGCACGCGTGAGTTTAAGTGTGTACATTCATACTTTCTGTATGACCTCTGACTGATTTTTAAACATGTGTTGGCATCGTGTCTAGCCATGATCGTTTGATCCTGAAAAAATGCCCATTTCTTCAAAGCATGTTTTTCTTGATGAGGCTAAGATTAACACTTCACTGAATGACTTATGAAACCACACTGCTAATATTCCTTTTATGTTTGGCTCTAGAGGGGCATAAAAATTAGGAAAGCAACACCAAAAGTGTTTCCATATGTCATTCTAACTCCATCTAACATGAAAAACAGCAATGAAAAACGTGCTTTTCTTATGACACTTGTAAGTTAAACAATCTAAAGAGTACAGATCAGATGCAAATGCATTTTCTGTAAGGATCAGCTCAGTGTTACTACACTGATATGGCATGTTGGGGATTTTGTAGCTTATCTGTGAGCATCAGTGATCATAGAAACATAGCTATGCCAGAACCTTAATAACCAGCTTTTCATTAATTAGATAAATAAATAAGGCGATTTCTGTAATTGTTGTTCTGATCTGTATGCTCACAATAAGATAGACCGTTAGAAGAGGGACCGTAACAGTATGTTTCCAAATGCTGCAAATACTGACAGAACACTGATGCTGTCATCATCAACAATGAATAACAAGCTCAGATTCAGATGAAATTATTGGAATTGCTTCCAAGCACAGTTGTTCTTTGTTATTCCCCTGTTTTCTTTTTCTTTTTTGTTCCGTCCATGTTCTTGTTTCTGTGATATGCATCTGTAAAGTGTAACTGTACGGAGAGACTTGTAAAATGTGTAAGTTAAGTGTTCAAAAGCAGAAGACTCAACAACAGGAATACACTTGAATCTAATCCAGTAGTTTTCTTGATGCAGACATTCACATATGAACCTGTGTCTGATGATATCGTACAGATCCACTCTGTTTGTTTCCTCTACTCAGAGCCCGAAGGACTTCTTAAAATGGATGTTAGGAACATTTAGCCCATCATACTTCCTTTCTCATGAGATCATGGGCTGATACTGGCGGCCTACCACCTCCTGTCTCATGCTATGGGACTTCACTGGCAAGCGAAAGAGGCAAAAAAGCTCACGCTGCATCTATGGTGGCCACGTACATTCCAGTGTTAGAAAAACAGTGTTTTTTTTTACAGCAAATCATTCAACAAAACAAGATCACCACTCAAACTCATCATTTACTCACGATAAACTTTTTTATTTACTCACACTGGCAATGGAATATTACCACTTAACTCGTGTGTCAAATGTATTCCTAATTAGATTTTTTTCACCAAAAAGGGGAAAAAAAAGTTTCTTTCAAATCCATCATCCAAAATATGAAAATAAATCCCAAGAAGTAATCTCTTAACCTTATTAAACAGACATAAGAGAAATTATTTCTGGCACACACATATAGCGACAACACCATTCTGGAAGAATTTACCATCAACCAAAGAATTAGTGACAGAATTTGGTTGAAAAGCTGCTTCTGTCCAAGCATTTCAAAGCAAGGCTGAGCCACGGCCATAACTTTTCGTGCTAGAGAAGCATTGATTAGTCCAAGGAAAATGTTTCTCAGTGCTAAGAAAAAACCCAAATGGAGTCTGGTGAAAAGCATACTGCAGGCCAAGTAATAAAAAACTGCTGGATATGAATGATCTTAAATTTTGTCAGTATGACTAACCTTTGTGCCACTGTAATCAATAAAGCTGCAGGAATACTTGGGAAAACCCTTTTCTTTCATTGCAATCCGCCACTGCTTCCAAAAGTGTTACCTGAAACTGTATTACATAAGGAGGAAAGCATATATAGCCTCTGGACAGAGATTCCGCTGATTTCTCTCCTCAGATTGATGGAAAGACATTGAATGTAGTTAAACTGCCTCTATCCCAACATTTATTTTCACTTTCTTTCTATATACATATCTTTTTAGTGTGTTTCTGTCATCATATTTTAGTTTGTTTACATTTTCTAAACCAATTCTGAGCACAGATCATAATGTATACTGTAGGGAGAGCCAATACAATATAGATACAGTATATTCAGCAATATCTTTGCTTTAAACAATTTACAGCAATTATATAGAGAGAGGCTTCAGGTTTTTGTTTTTTCCCCAGAGCCAGTGGTGAAAAATGCATTCAGATCATTTTAACATAAAGACAGTATGTCAAAAGTTAGATTTTCCAGGAAAATTCTGCACGTGTAAATGGAGCAAAAATCTTATCAACATGCCCTTGAAGTGAAAATACTGATTTAACTACACAGGATGATGTCACAGTACTTTCAAATCATGTTACACAAACTTTAGGTCACAATCAATAGGTTCAAGACTCTTGACTCTTAATTATCCTGCAGAAACAATCAGCTGTCATCAAATGTTCTGATGACGAAATTGAAAAGGCCTCCAATACACAAAGCTACCATGATAAGAACTGCACCAGTATTATGATGAGTGTCTTTAGTTTAAAACAAAATCATCTTTTTTCTACTCTTTTGAGATATTTAGTGAGTTGAGTGACTCACAGAGTCCCACATTAGTGTACTGGATATGAAACATGATACTACCCTTGATGATGTGAACCAGAACCAGAGATATTTCCCACTAACATGGTGACGAGATTAAGTTGATGTCCTCATATCGTCTCATGCATAACAACAGATGTTCTCTTTATGTTTGCAATTACTGGGATGCTCGCCAAAGGTGACTGTTTCCTCATTGACTGGGTGAGTCCCATCATAGCACAGACAGTTCAAGAGAAGATGCCAGCAGTTGATCTGCTTGTGCACACAATGCATATGCTCGAGGGAACAGAGTATCATAAGCATAATCAGCCATAATCACAAGCAGTGTTCTGGTCAAATCTTTGTAGATCATACTGAATTACTCAATGACTCCCAGCTACTTATTTGAAAAAAAAGAGTGTCTTTTTTTACAGATTTTCTGTCCTCGTTCATTGAACTTCTTTGGCAGTATTTTAGGTCAAAGAGAATAAGTTACATGGAATTGTACAAATAAATCGACAAAGTCTGCTGCGAGTGGAACAATGAAAAAAAAAGGTGTTGCTGATGTCCTTATCACCACAACTTTGGACTGTCTGGCTCAACCCATCAGTCATTCTCGGCTCTGGAAGTTTTCTGCTCCTAATGACGTTTGTTTAATGTTTATCTTAATGTTTATGAGATGTTTCTGCAGAGTCAGCACGTCTTTGACAGTCAGACTCTTTCGCCTCTAATCTTTCTAGGAACCATTTACAGAACAAAACAAACTTCCACTTCCAGCTTATAATTCTGAGTGTATTGACATGAAGTGAGACTGCATTTGAAACCAATGTATTTTGACAGATGTCTCTCACTGAGGTCAAGGTGCTCTGTCTGGTATTTGAAGGGTGGGCTGAGTGTAAAAGCCTGTTCCGACCACAGCAGAACATGCCAGTGCCGTCAAAATCAAGTGCAAGTTTGTGCAAGTTTATTTGTGCATTCACCCTCTGCCTTTCAATGCAGGTGTGTTATTGTATTGTATTTTTGAAGCTATTGCCTACAACAGCTTCGCTTTACTTCACATAACTTGGATTTCTTGGAAACTAAACGAAGACTGGAAAATATAGCTTTAACATAACTCTACAGCTTTAGCATAGCTCACACACACGTTCTTTGGATCTGTGGCTGCATGGACTACCTTTATCAATAACAATAATAAAATGTAATACATGTAATTTGGATTAAAAGTATTTGACTCCTGCTGAAAACTATTTTTTTCTCTACAATTCAACAAAGAACAGTAGTGGCCACTCCTTTGGTTGTACAAACACCTGGAAAATGTAAACAGTTGTTTCTTATAAAAATGTCATTTAAGCATTCTAGAGATGCAGCTCGTAGAGATTTATTCAAAGCGTTTAGTTGGCAACCGTCTGGGGTGATGAAACAAATGCTATTTGTGTGAATGCTCCTTCTCACCTGTGAACAGATGGTAGGGGAGAAAGGTGCCCCCTCAATCTGTGGATCAGGAAATGCTTGTAAAGGGATTTGTCCTCCTCCTTGACACATTTTCTTTGCATGATAGTAGTTAAGGCCTACACCTCAAAGGAGGTGTAAAAAGGGACGCCACCTGTCATTTTAATAACTAGCTTTGGGCAAACGCCAGGCTGGAGCTCACGGTGTTTTAACAGGTATGCCACGATAACAAGGCTGCTATTAAACAAAGCTGTTTTGATTTATGCTCCAAACAGTGCGTGATACATTTAAAAAATGTACAAGATATTGTCATTTTAAGTGTTTATAAAATTCTGCCGCTACGATTGTTCAAATTCACGCTGAATTCATAACACAACAAATTTAGCATTTTTTATACGCTACCACAATTTATGAATTAATATTCTTGTTTGTGACATTTTAAATGATGTCAATCACTGACACGTGCTAGCCACTGTGGAGAACAAGTTTTAGTTTTATATAGTTCCCAGATGCTTGGGAAGAGAGGTAATCAGAGCTCATGTTCGACCATGTGCATAGATGTACGGGGTCAATGCATGGGGAGTGCTGAAACAGCAGATGATATC